GTTGTATGAGCCCCTAATAAAATGTTCAAAAAAAAAAAGAGAAACACACACACACACACACACACAAAAGAGAAAAAAAACCTTTTACGAGTATAAGGTACTTTTTTTTAATCATAAAAGAAAGTATTAAAAAAAACCTTTTATAGCTGTGTTTGAAGCATTTTGCTATAATTTTCTTGTTTTTTGTGGCTTTTTGGTACTGTTTTTAGATTAAAAAAAACATGTCATAAGACTTTTTGAAAAGAATCATCATAAGGAACAGGTTTAACCATGTTATCAATATTGTTGATGATAATTTAGCAAATCCTTTTAGAAAAGTTAAGGAAACACCAACAGCAGACCATATTTGACAGATTTTTTTTTTAAGAGAAAGTCAGCAGGTTCTAGTGAAAAAAGGCAAAGAAGGGGAAAAAAACTGCTACCAGTTGTCCCCCTTCCAAACAATGACTCTCTCTCCAACCCTCCTCTCCACATCCAAGTCCACAGATCCAGATCCTCATCCATCTCAAGATAGGGACCATACTGGAGTTGTTAAAAACTTTTAAAATGTTTTTTTACTTAAATTATATTATTTAACTTTAATCTTACTGACTGAAATATCCGTGCAATATTTTGTCTAAAAAGGCAAGGTTAGGGTAAAAACTTGATGGTCGAAAACGGATTTATCTGTTTTCATTTATTTTTATCGAAAAATGTATTTGGAACTTGACTGCATTGCTTCTTCTAGAGGGATTAGCATGAAGGGCCAGGGTTCTACTGTATGCTATGCTAGGAGGGGGTGCACACTGGGCTGCTGAGCAGTCAGGAGTTGGAGCCCACCAGACACTTCCTAGGAGAATGACTAGGCTTTCTGCCCTATACAGATTTACAGCTTTGGAAACCCAAAGGGCAGTTCTATCAGTCCATAGTTTCACTATGCCTGGGTATTAATGTGATGGCAGTAGGGCTCGTATTCAAAATGGGGCTTCAAAAAGTTCCTGGGAAAATCCCATTATCTTCCAATTGCATTGTCCACATTTTCTTTTTAAATGATTTATTTTATTTGTTGTGAATACACAAACAACACCCCCCCTCCAACGCTTCTATATGTACATTTCAGTAACTGATTACATTTCCCATTTGTTGGTCCAGATTAGCTTAAACTCACTGCCCAACCCTGAAGTTCGTATGCATTCTTTGCAATTAATTGCTGTCAGTTTAAACTCTTAAAAGAGCAGAGTGCGCAATGGAGAATTTTTTTGTACTAGTTATGCGAAATTATTGCTTGGTTTTTTAAAAAGATTTCTGGGGATATTTCCGGGGTAGCGCTTTTAAACCGTCTCAGGGCAATCGTTTTGGGAATTCATCCCACCTCCACGGTGACAGAATATACGCTTCTTTGTCAATGCATCAAACGCCCAGGTCCCACGGTAATTTCAAAGTAGTTAAGAGTGTAGCTAAGGGGCCGCAGTGACGCTGTGGATTACGCGTCGGGCTCCCAAACCGTAAGGTAAGCGGTTCAAACCCACCAGTCTCTCCGCGAGAGAAAGACGAGGCTGTCCGCTCCCGTAATCACTTAGGAAACCCGATATGGGGTCGCTACCGGCTGTAGGTGTGGTTAAGTGTAACTTAGCTCCAGGTCATCACCATGTGGCGGAAACTTGTGGCTTGTTGCCTGTCATATAGAAATCAATGGGGTCCTACAAGTTCGGCGGCCCCAGGTTAGTACTTCCTGTATTGGGGTCACACGGCTGCGTCTTCCCTCGGAGGGACCTGCCGACCCCCGGCCACACACTGGAAACTGGGTCCAAACACAACCGTTCTCCCTTCAGGCCCCTCACTGGGCGACCCGCGTCAACCCCCATCCCGCATCGCTGCTGGTTCCCGCCTCGCCTCCATCCCAGCCTCGGCTCCGTTCTATGCCAGTCCTCGCTACGTTTTCCCGTCACCACTCGTGTTTTCGCGTCCTCCGCTACTCACCTGACTCCTAGGCAAGTTACTAGCGTCCGCCGGGTGTCGCGCAGGCGCAAAAGGCGCCGCGAGCTCCGCGCGTGATTTTATAGTCTCGTAGATACAGGCGCTCGGCTGTCGACTAGCCTGCCTACCATGGCGGCTCGTGTTACACGCTGGATTGGTCCGGTCTGGACGTGCGGAGCGCCGGCGCGGACGGACGCGCTCCCGGCATGCCCCGGGCGGAGGCGGCGGCGGCGGCGGCAGGGAACCCCGGCAGGATGTGGCGGAAGCTGTGGTTGCGGTCCAGCTTGGGCTGGCTCTTGGTGCGCTTGATGGCGGCGGAGAAGCGTGTGCTGCGAGGCCGCGGCGGGTAGGGGTGTGAGCGACCGGAGGGTTGAGTGGGAGTCGGGCCGGCGGGCCGCCGCCACCATGCAGGAAATCATCGCCAGCGTGGACCACATCAAGTTCGACTTGGAGATCGCCGTGGAGCAGCAGCTCGGGGCGCAGCCTCTGCCCTTCCCCGGCATGGACAGTGAGCGAGGGGCCAGGGCCGACGGGCGGGACCTTCTCGAACCTAGGATCCTTCCGCCGGGATCTTGAGGTCCCTCCGACTTCTTCCCCTGCTCCCAGGGCTTCCCACCCCCTTGTACGCCCAGCTTTCCTTCGGCATCTCCTCCCCTCGTCCCGGGACCTCACTTTCCCGAGGTCTCTTTCCCCCGCCGTCTCTAGACCCGTACCCCCCTGTTCTCCCCCACTTGAACCCCAGAACTCACCTCCGGGTCTTCTTAACTCTGGGAGCTGCCCTAAAGTAGTCTTCGGGAAGACAGAGCTCTGTTCGACTTTCAAATAATTCTTGAATGAAAGCTGGTTCTCCTGGCTTAGAATTGCTCCCCCAACTACAGGAGAATTCTGGGAGACCCCCCCTCTCTCTAGGACCTCCACCTCCAGTTAGTCGCACTGTCATCTCATCAAAACATGGAGCCTTTGGAGGAGAATTACGGAAGGAAGAACCACCTCCCTCCCCCTAGGAGATCACCCACACCAGTCTCTCTAATCTGCTACACTCACTCCCCAGGGTCCAGCTCTAGTTCTGGGGCGGCCTCTCACCTTTTCTCCGGGTCGCAGCTCCGCGGGTCCTTCATCCTCCTGAACTGTGGTAAAGACCCGTCAGGGTGACACATCTGAGCCACCTTCTTTCTCCCCCTTTTGGCAGTCCCTGGCCAGTGTAATGTTGAAGCTGGGAGGGCACTTAGAGGCTATTGAGTTAAGTCCACAGGGGAAAACTGGTTGGGGGAGGGGACTTGCGACTATCACTCAGTGCATGACAGAGTCAAGGGTGGGGGAGGGAGTGCCAGGCGCCGCCTCAGTAGTCCTGCGTCACTATGCCCCATTACTGCCTGGGGACTGGCCCCAGGGACATCCCTGCAGCCTCACTCGCCTCAGGTGGCCACTCAGAGGTCATTTTCTGAGTCAGAGGTCCTCTGTCATAGGGTGATGATCCTTCTCTGTCAGCGTGCCTCTGCCAGAAGACACAGCCGTCTTTTGGATGGTTGCAGATACCACCACCGTGAGCTCAGACTGGCACCCTCCTCGGTGCACAGGATTTTGTCGTATTTGTACATGCACATCTGCCCCTTTTCCAGTCTTGATGACACCAGTTCGGGGCCATGAACTCCTCTGCCTGGAGGGGCCCCTACCCTTCTCTGGCCTCACCACAGAGCTTTGAGGGCTGGTACAGCAGTCAGGGGGCGCCCACAGACCCATTCCAGAGATCCTGCCCAGCTCAGGGACTCCAGCCTGGTGCACCCCCACCTGTGTTAGCACCCACAGTCTGTGCGAGTAGGAGCCCTGGGAGCAGAGGTTCAAGCCCACCAGCTTCTCTGCAGGCAGAAGAGAGCTATTTGTATCAATATGATGGCCCCGGAAAGAGCTAACAGTCCCTGAAACTCACAGGCAGTTCTATAAGTACCCTGTCATATGGAGTCAACTTCTTGGCAGTGAGTCCTGTTGTCAAAATCAACTTGGCGGCAGCCAGTTTGGTTAGGGGCTTGCATGTGAATGGGTTCCAGTGGAAAGCACCCTCTGAGCCCCCAGGAGACCACAGCCTCTTCCCCAGCCCATACCTGTTCTTCACACCAGCTCAGGTTGGGAAAAGCTGTGAGCCCGCTCTAATGCACGATGTCTTCTCCCATCTGCCTGAGGCCCCTCCCAAGTTTCTAGCTTGCAAGAACAAAGCAGTTTTACCAACCCTGAAAAGACTAGGGGCTCCGAAATGTTCTTCAAGGATGGGTTTCTAACACCAGTCCCTTCCCAGAGGCTTCCCTCAAAACCCAGCTCCACACTGTGCAGTCGGTTGCGGCAAGATGGGCCTGCTCTGGAAAAGCCAGGGACACTGCTGCCAGTTCGCCAGGGGAGGCTGGATTGAAGGGGTGTCAACAGTTTTTCAAATGCCTCCAGAGAGAGAAAACCAGACTCGTCACGTTGATCTGGACTGTGTCAGTGACCCCCAACCACACCACAGGTGGCTGCATTTTCTAAGTCCATCTCCAGTCCTTTCTTCCAGTGTGTCTCTGGGTGAACTTGAACCACCAGCCTGAGGGCAAGCAGCGGAGCGCTCTGACCACCGGCATCACCCAGGGGGCTCCTGTTGGGGGTGGAGCGCCTCAGAACTTCGCTCCTTCCTCACCTGAGCCAGCCACGTCCATGAGCCCAGTCAGAACTGCACATAGTCCTGTTGCACATTAAAAGGGGGTTTGCTTCTGTGCCTTCACTGTGCCTCTTCCTCTGGAATACCATCCCAGGGGCATCCACCTCTTCTGGAACCTTCCCCTCCTCTCAGCCCCCATCACTGGCTTGCACTTCTGGTGAGACTGGTCCCTCCCTCCCAGGGCCTTCGCCCTCCTGGAAGGTCCCAGTGAGGAGTGGGGGAGTCAATTAACTTCTGTGATCTTGTTCTCTGTCCTTCCCCCACCTACTCGTAACTCCTTGAAATGCCTTGGGGTCATCTCCCCATGGTGAGCACCCAGAGAATGAGTGGTCCTGGGGACATGACTGCACTGACCGCTCACTCTGGACTCGACCACCTCTGGGTTTTTGCGACTCCTCTCTTTCCTGTGCCCTGACCCATTCATTCCCCACTTCAGAGCCTAGAAGCTTCCCTCCTGCCCTGTTCGAACCTGACCAAGAGCTTCATCTGATGTTCCTCGTCTTCTGTCCTTTCCACAGAGTCGGGGGCAGCTGTCTGTGAGTTCTTTTTGAAAGCTGCCTGTAGCAAAGGTAAGAGCTCCCGGATGCCGCCCCAGGCAGCCCTCCCACCACACCCACGCAGACTCGCCAGCCAGCCAGGCCCTGGGTGCCATTGCTCTCTGCTTGCTGGCCGTGTACTAGACTGAGGGTGGGGTTTGGATATGCAGAGAATGTGATGGAACGTCCTGGGCCAGTGTAAAAGGTAACCTCGCACCTCACTGTCCCTGGAACCAAGGGCTGGCTTATCCTGAATGAACCATAGCCCCCAGCTCCAAGCCTTTGTTTGTGTCCCCACATCGGTGAGTGGTTGATTCTGAGTTTGAACCCTGGGTTTTCTGTCTCCAGGATCTGTCCTTTGTGCCCTCTTGTCAAACACCGCCCCCAGCCCCAGTGATCTGTTTCATGGGGTCTCAGTCATATTCCCCAGGCCCAGCTGCTGCAGGAGCCCGGACTCAGCTAACCCGTTGAGGGAGGTGTCTCTGGGTGGGGACTGAACACAACACAGGTGGGTCTGGGCAGTCTTCCTGCTGTAGCATTTTTATTCAGGATTCCAGGTTTGAGCCTGATAGTGTAGCAGAGCATAAGATTTTCAGCGCTCCTTCCTCTTACATTCTGGGGAGCCATGCCCTCCTCATGGAACACAACACATAACGACGGAATCAGAGGCGGAAGTAGGGGCACAGCATCAGAGCGAGGGAGCTGTCTGAACGGGTGGTTGGGGAGAAATGGGACCACTGACACCCCAGGCCCGCTAAGCAGATGACCAAGTTGGCCTCGGGCTGTCTGGTCTGAGCAGCAGTCCTCTGTAGTCATCCTCCCTGTGTAAAAAGGTGACCGGTCAGAGCAGAGATGTGGGGCTGGGACCAGGAACCCAGCCAGAGGCTGCTGCTCTGCTCTGACCAGACAGCCTGGGGCCAACCTGTCTCAGGGTCAGCTAGTCCAGTCACCACTGGTCATGTGTGGCTATTCAGATACAAGTGAATTACCCTTAAATAGAAAGAGAGTATGGGTCCTGGGTTGGGCCAGGCAGGTAGCAAGTTCTCACAGCCTTATGTGGTGGGTAGGATCTCAGCGATTTAGAACATTCCACTTCAGGGAGTTCTCTTGGGCTGGGCTGCTCAAGATCTTTCTCAAAATACTTCCGTCACATTTTCCCCAAACCCATTGAAATGAAAGGTCTGACACCAGGCGATCTGGAGGCGTGGCACTTAGGGGCTGGGCTGCTGGATGCAAGGTCAGCAGTTGGAAACCAGGCTGCTGAGGTGGGGTTGGGGAAGGGCGGGGCTTTCTACTCCCATAAAGAGCAGCCGTCTTGGAAACTAACAGGGGCCACTTTAACAGTTTCCTAAGGTGGCTGTGAGTCACCACCGACTCGGTGACAGTAGCTGGGTTTTTTCAGTTTGGGAGACACACCGATTAAGCGCTTGGCTGCTAACCAGACAAGCCGTTTGAGCCCACCAGCCGCGTCTCATAGACAGACATGGCAGTCCGCTTCTGGACAACCCGCAGGGGCAGGTGGGCTCTGCCCTACAGAGGCCGTAGGAGTTGGAATCGATTCCACACCTGTGGGTTTGTTTTGTGTTTGTGCGTTTTTATGATTGAAACAGAAGGTTTGCCTGTGAACAAGTCGAGGTCTTGCGGCCTTTGGCCAGTGACCCCTGCTCCTCCAGCAGGGCTCCTGGGGCGAGGTCACCCCTCGCTGACCCTGTCTCCCTGGCAGGGGGCATGTGCCCATTCCGCCACATCAGCGGGGAGAAGACGGTGGTGTGCAAGCACTGGCTGCGGGGCCTGTGCAAGAAGGGCGACCAGTGTGAGTTCCTGCACGAGTACGACATGACCAAGATGCCCGAGTGCTACTTCTACTCCAAGTTCGGTGAGGATGCGCTCCTGGCGCCCCCTTCTCTGGGACGGGATCCTGGTACCTGGAGTCCCTGGTGCTGCCCTCACAGAGGTGCCACGAGTGGGCGTATCGTCTGGTCATTCTAAAAGCTGGACCCAACGCATGTAAACTCCGTCTGCGGGCCTCTGGGGACAGCTAGCTGTCTTCCCAGGGAGATGAGCCTCACCTGTTGTCCCGTTTCCCATGTGCAGCCCTGTCTGTTCTGGTCTCTCTCAGGAGGGAAGGGGTCTAGGATCCAGGCTACAGCGCCGTGCCCTCGGTAACAGACCAAAAGAAGGTCCTTCTGTGAATGTAGGTCTGGTGGTTAGGATTGCTACCTGTTTCAGGGAACAGTTTGGTCTGTCACTTTAAGTGGGAGCCCCATGGTCTTGAAGGACCCTGAGAATAGCCAGTCCGGGGGACAGGGGCAGGGAAGGCAGCCAGGCTAGCCAAGAGTATTATGCTTTGGGGGGGGATAGAGCCCCTGGGCCTCTGCTCTGGGGACCTCCCAGACCCCTAGAGGAGTTTGGGGTGACCAGCCTGTGCTCCAGGTCACTGGACACTTTCAAGGTACTGGTGAGGTCTCAAGCCTGGTGGGCCCGTGGGCGTCTAAACACAGAAGTGAGTCCCAGGCTCTGCGGGGCCTATGGGCGTCTGCACTCAGGAATGAGGAGCGGCAGGTTTTAATTATTTCCTCATTCCCACTCCCCCCCACCCCCCATGATTGGCTCTCAGCTCAAGTGTACTGATTGTGGCCTATGTGTAATAGCAGCATATGCTGAAATGGAAGTCGAGGTACAGATAGAAATAGGACCCAGCTTCCCAGCAGTGGCCATGGACCTAGCAGCTGCCCCTTCTGGCTGACAAGGTCTCATGACTGAGACACCTCCCTGCCCATTGGCCCCAGTGCTGGTCAGTATTGAGGGCAACACTGCAGGGAGGAAGAGGACAGATCAGGCCTGGGCTCAGGGAGCTTCTAAGAAACTCCTCACAGCCAGGGGCAGCAGGTGGATTAGAAAAATGAACAAGTAGAGGAGAGGGACTATCATGACCAGGGCAGGGGAGGGCCACAGTGGCAGTGAGCTGACAGGCGTGGTGCTCCTGTGGGCAGTGGGGAGGGTCTTCTCCCTGGAAGCCCTGTTGGAGCAGCTGAGAAACCAGTGTGACTGGGGTGCAGGTCAGAGCTGGTGGGCCTCCCTACAGAGGGGGCACTAGATCTGTGTTGCAACGGGCATCAGCAGTGGGCACATAATTGGGTGTACAGTTTATGTGGGAGTACGGATGAGGGGTGGCCAGGCCCGTAGTTTCTGTAGTTGGGAGGAAGATGGTAGCAGCCAGCTAGGTTGTAACTTCCAGAATCTCACCGTATGACCTCAGAGGTCAAGTTCTTGTCTTTCTGCCCAGGTGGAGAGCCAGCCAAGATAGAGCTATGGTGTCCCCTGTCGTCTGGTGTCTCTCCATGTAGGACCCCCACACCACTGGCGCAGGACAGAGGACCCCACACTGCCGGCCCCTGGGGCAGAGGAAGGAGGTCCAAGGAGTTAATGGGGTGCAGCTTGCGCCAGGCTGTGATTGGCGTGTGTGTGTGTGTGTGTGTGTGTGTGTGTGTGTGTGT